CAACGACCTACTCAGCGATCGCCAGTACGGATTCCGACGTATGCTTGTCACATATGGAGCGAGGCTATAGAAAAGCAAAGCGAAGCACTTGCAGTATCTTTGGACATTTCTGAAGCCTTTGACAGGGTCTGGCACGCAAGCCTTTTAAGTAAGCTTCCCTCTTATGGGCTTCCCACTGCCTTTGCAATTGGATCTCGGATTTCTTGAGCGAACGTTCGATTCGAGTGATCTTAGAAGGCTACTCTTCCGAACATATGGCGATAGAGTTCCTCAGGGTTCCGTACTATATGCAACTCTCTTTCTGTTCGATATCAATGATATGTTAATTCCAGGTACCTTTGCGTATGCTGATGACAGCACAGTTGTAGATAGGTACTTGACCAATGCAAGGGTCAATGAAGAGAAAATCCAATCTTGTCGAGAGTCCATGGTTAGCCGTTTAGATTTGACACTCCAGACAGTCTCCGATTGATACAATGCCAATCTTGTCAAATTTAACGCTACCAAAACGCAGGCGTGTCTATACTCCACAAAACGGAGTCTCCCTTTAAGCTGACTCCGACTTTTCGTGATATATCCATACCGATCGCCGATTATCTCCAGCTACTTGGAATGGACCTGTCGTCCAATTTGAACTTCGGCAGATACATTGAATCCTTGGCCAAAAATGCAGCAAGGAAGCTTGGGATCCTTTCCAGTGTGAGGCGTTACTTTACACCGGGACAGTTGCTTCAGCTGTACCAAGCACAAGTCGGATCGTGCATGGAGTACTGCTGCCACCTCTGGGATGGCTCTGCTACATATCAACTGGCCACTTTGGATTCAATTGACAACCGTGACAAGAGGCTTATAGGTGACTCGGAATTAGTGGAGGCGAAGCCGCAGAGCCTTGAACACCGCCGTAAAGTTGCCTGCTTATTGGTATGTTACAGGATATATCACGGAGTGTGCGCGATGGAATTACACGATTTAATTCCGCCTTCCCGTTTCCATCACCGGGGGACTAGGCGTAGGCTTGCGTTCCACCCCTATGTTTTTTATTATTATTTAAATATTTAATAGTTTATTGTACAGGAAAAATACAACAAGTCCCAAAGAATACAAGGGAAATTAAAAACAAAAGTTTGTGCTCATTTCTAATAGAAACTTCTTCCTGCAGCCCTAAATACAGAACACTATAACTAAAAGAACGGGCACATGTGCACAACAAAACAAGAAAAAAAATATAATATAAAAATAATATAATAATATTAAATTGTTATAAATTGTATAAATACTTAGATAAAGACATATTTTATAATATAATACCTAAGATATGGATGGAATAATAGATAAATAATGCACTTTAACTCTCACTAAGTTCCCTATCTTGTGGATATTCCAAAGATTCGCACGAAGCGTTACGCTTCCACATTTATATGGCGAACGGCTATGGAGTGGAATTGCCTGCCCAGAGACTTGTGCCCTGAACGTCATAACATGGACCTTTTCAAGGCGAGAGTGAATAGGCATTATTTAGGTGTACATGCTCCATCGTTGACCTCAGCGTCACTTTCCATCGGGTGAGTTGGAGGTCAAATGCACACATATATTACATTAAAAAAATACAATTCGTCACTCTCGCTTCATTCGCGTCGTGTCGCCGTCGTGTCGCCGCCGTCGGCGGTTAGATTACGAATTCGCTATAAAACGAGATTATCCTCGCTGCCGTCCATAAAAACAAACTTGTGATGTACAAGTGCGTTAAGCCTGATCAAATCAAAAATAGATGCATATTCTTACTCGTATAAATAATATAGCAGAAATATTTTTCAAAATTATTTCTGCATCTTGCTTAAACAAAGAAGTTTGGTGGCCAAAAGAACGCAACAGCTTACATGTACAGCTAAAATGTTGATTGTAGAATTAAATTTCAGAAGCAGATCGCCAAATTAAATAATACTATTCCCCCGCTCCTCTTCAAAAACCTCTTCAAAAACCTTCGCGTTTTCTTTGACTCCACCCTGTCTTGGTCGCCACATTTCGCTGAGGAGGGTATTTACTGCCTCAGGCTCATTGCGACGATGGAAAAATCTGCTTCCTGTGAGGACCAAGGTTGAATTTGCGCAATCGCTGCTCTTACCTATTCTAGATTATGCTGATGACTGTATCATTGACCTCAATGAGGGTCTATTAAGCAAACTCCAGCGTCTACAGAACCTTTGCATCATGTTCATACACGGATTGCGCAAGTTCGACCATGTGTCTGAACATAGGAGAATGCTACAGTGGCTGCCCATCAAGTTGCGCCGTGAGGAGCACGTTCTCGGCTTTCTCTATAACGTTCTATATGACCCTCACACTCCACCTTACCTTAAGGAACGTTTTCGCTTCCTCGGGGAGGATCACAACCGTGAACTTAGGTCTAAAATGGATAACCTACTGAAACCACCTTTCACTCGCTCGGAGTATTTCAACAACTCGTTTACGATGAAGGCTGCACAACTACGGAACGAACTCCCGTCTGAAATCCGACATTCAAAGTCGCTTTCCATTTTCAAAACTGGATTGCATAAATATCTTCTGACACTGTCCTAGTCTGCGACGTATATTTATTTATTAGTAAGTATAAGTTTATTTAGGTATATTTACGTATATTAATATACATGTAGATGTACTATATCGTTATTTATTATTTGACAAAATATAATTGTTTTTCTATACAATTCAAATTTTGCTGTTGGCACACTACGTATCCCGCTCTGACTAGTTTTCCTATATCTCAAAGGTTGTCTGGAAGAGATCGCTCTTAGCGATAAGGCCGCCGTTGCCCACATTAGTCTTAAGCTGTCTATGTACTGATTTTGTTCGTGTATGTTAGCAATAAAGTGTATATCTATCTATCTATCTCAATTTAAAGCTTTCAAACTGAGCTTTCAAAAGTTTCTGCTAACCAAAAACAATAGTTTTTATTTCGATAAATAACCGTTACAATAATAGATGATAAATAATAAAGAAGACTGATGGCAACCCTAACTGTAAACGTAACATTATTACTTTGTAACATTTTCCCAAGAAGTGTGATTATCATAATCTGATTATATGTCCCACTGCTGGGTGCGGGTCTTGTCTGTGGAAAGAGCTTAGGCCACTTAGGAACTTCATACGTTTCCAAAGCTAGGCTAGGCCTTATCACGATATTCTACTTCGCTGTTAGTGCGAGGTATTTCTAAACATCCACAAATGTACATAAAGATTTTGGACTGTTGATTTCTCAACTGAGAACTAAACATCGTATGTACCAAGACCCATAAAGTGTTAATAACGTAAATACTGGAATCAAATTAAATGCACGACGCTGTCCCCGCGGCGGCAGCACCGAGCTCGAAATGTACGCAAGTGAACCCAACTTATTAACGTATTTAGTTATTTGTATATTTTTATAATGTCTCCGACGGAGCTATAACTCTGGGCTATGGCTCTAGTCTATACACATTTGACATGTTTGTTTTGGCTTGTTTTGTATTTGTCATTTCGTGTTTTGCGTATCAGATAAAGTGGTTTATATTTAGATTAAAGCTTTTTTAGCATTCAAAGTCAAAGTCATACTGATTAAACTCTACTGCTCATTCGTAGGCAGCTTCCACTGAGAAGACAGAGCAAGAAACCTTAGAGGTTGCTCTTTTTTACAAATATTTGAATACATTTATCATTACAATATTTAATTTAAACATTTTAGATCGAGAATACCTGAACGAGCTAAACGACGGATTTTTGTCATGCAAGTGCGCAGAAGGTGTATAATAATTTTTAGTATATTTTTTTGTTTCACTATAATTTTAAACCTCGTATCGTAGTCGTGTGGATTGAAGCCGTTTATACACAGGAACAAAAGATGCTTTGTCGACGCCATTCAATAATTTTTTAACTCCTATATATCGCATATGGCATTTGAGCCAACGACACTAATTTCAACTTTTTTTAAAACAAAGGAAACTAGGAACATTTAATAAAAATAGTAAAAAATTGAACAATTTAATGTCATTTTGAATAATAAAAAATCTAGTTATTATTAGTTTTTAATTATTAAAAAATATAGGCTTTTATTTATGTTGCAGGCGATTCTTAATCTCTGTTGTCTCTTACTCTTAACCTCTGCAGAGAAATTAACGTCAATTTATGGGAAGGGAAGAGAGGAGCAAGGACTGATCACATCTGAGAATAGTTTCACTTGTGCAATTTCCATGACATGTGAAAGATAGCTTTTTATGTTCCTCATGGGGTGTACGAAAGGACGTGAGACGTACCATTGTCCTGTACGTCTGGCGCACCCTACGCAACAATTGTTATGCCAATTTGCCAATGCAAATCCATTCACCACAATGGCAAGAATTAGGTATATGCCATCGACACAATTAGAGAGATGTTCCTTAATTTTTAACCAACTTAAAAATAGAGAAGGTTCTCAATTCGACTGTATTTTTTTTGTTATGTTACGCGATAACTCCAGCATTTGCATTTTTTTTAATTGGAAAGAGGATACCTCACCCATTACCATTATTATTAATTATTAGACCCATTTAAATATGAAGAAAACATTCCACCTCCAAGGGTGCCAAACTAGGGGTTGAATCCGGTTTCGAGCACTTTCCGGTAACTGATTTCAATAAAACTTGACAAATAAATGTAACTCCAAAACTTTTGAGATCTTTTTTTAACTAAAAATGTTACAATTATTCTATATAAATTAGATGCAAAATCTAATGCAAAATGGTGAAATAATGATAAACAGTGACATAACTTAATAAGATTCTTTACAGATTGTAACTGCTTAGTCGGTTGCAGTTATCACATTAAAGCACATGTTTTTACTGTACATTAGTATTTTTTATCTTTCCTTTTTATAAAAGGATGCCGTTATTATAATTAGCCAATTTTGTAATCTCAGTTTGCGCCACTGGCAGAAAGGCATCACGGTTCAGAGTTTGAGGAACAAGTACCTAAGCGCAGTGGGCCCTTACCTCCTAAGGCTGTAGCGGTGAGGTTGTTAAGCATGGCCCCGAAAGGCCCTTCCCGGCCGCGCCCTATGCCGCCATCCTCTCCACTCCTGCTCGACCACACTCTCTCCTCTCTCACCTCCGGCCCTTTCGAACCCCACACTCAACTAATCACTCAAAATCCCGGCAACAAAACGCACAAATTACGGCAACATCCAGACGCATCAGGAATAACGAACACAATTAAAATCCGAAACTTTGGAACACAGTTCGGGTACTAATTTAAATTCTTAACACCAACGCGTCACCAAAAAACTTGCGTTTCGGTCAAAAATGTCAAAAACGACGAATTGTAGGCGAAAACCCGCTTTAATACAAAACAATTAGCGCTATATTACAGTCAATTAGTTTTAATTACGACTCCGTTCAAACTTATTTACACACTTAATTTTTGTTATAAAATTAATATAACCCGTTTAGTATCAATTTGTATAAATTTGCAGTTTGATTGGTTCGCCCTTAAAATGATCGTTTAATGTGAAAACCGACTGGCGACTGCTACAAAAACAGATAGTGCTCACATTGTTGCCCGGACCCACTACATCTCGGATCACCAAACATATAGTCGTCTCTCTCTACCCCACGACAACTTCCATAAGTATTTTCCGGGATTCACACGCGTGCATCAGTAATGGATGCTTACATTTTGTTTACGTTCGATTTGAACAAACGAATAATCTATTATTTCATTCGTGCACGTATTATTGATACGGGCCTTTCAGGTTCATACAATATTTAGCTACTTACGAAAGTATACCCATCACTTTCTATCTCCACGTAGCGTCGTAAAAGGTCATTGTTGGTGTCTCTATTGCTCTGAGCTTTTGAATATCGAACGCATTCGGAGTTGTGTTAAGCCGACCAATGGGATCGCAGAGAAATCACTTTGAAAGAGACGAGGGCAGTGTCTCGCGTCGCGATATTGAAATATTATCGCTATACATTGCGCAGGGCGTTCCGCTCCTTTGTAATGGGAAAAACAAATAGAAGCAGTGTATAGGCGGGTATAGACGCCGGTAAATAAGAGCACTCGTGGAAATATTTCAGGTCTGAGTGCAATTTCTTGTAAGCGCCTTTAATTTTCGGACGCTTCTGAATAAGGAATGCGGACGGACCTTCTTTTGTTTTCAGCGTTCTTTTTTTAAAATTGTTTATTTTCGTTTTATATCTGATGACGGTTACTGTTTCGTTTTTTCTTTTTTCTTATGAAATTTGTCTTTGTACTTCTAATTCTAAATTCAAGTGAAAGGCACTGTCCAAGATGTAACTATAAAATAAATTTTTGATTAGAAACTTTTGTATACCTATATACTTACAACGATTAGTTTTATAATTCCATTATGTCCTAACATATTGTTTTACTGGAATGGAAGGCAGGTTAGGTATTGCAAAGGAGTTAACACTTTAAGCTCGAGTTGCCATAGGCGATGGTATAAGCCTCACGGGCTTGTAATAATCACCGCACTAGAACCGCCCATATTTCTCATATTTTATTTTAAAGTAGTAACGATGTTTCGTAACAAGTTACGAAAATGGCGTCTGTTCGAAATTTGTCATACGTGAAGCTTGCTCATAATTAAAATAAAATTGAAATGCAGAAAATCATACACGATAGGATATTTTTATTCGTTAATAAACAAAAAATATAATATTTTCTGTCAATATAGTTCATTATTTTTGCTAACTTTTCTGCATAACAATTTTATTTTTCTGCATAACAAATGTAGAGAGTAGTATTTTTTTTCAGACGTAAAGAAACTCATCTCCAGGGAACATTCAAATTGTGTTCATATAAATTACAAAAACGAAATAATTTTCACTCTCACGGTTGAAAATTAAATTGTCATTATTTCCAGAGTAGTACGTACAAGTAGTAGAGTACGACAGTAAATATTTGCCAGTAAAACTATCAACTGAGATAGTTATAACACAGGAAGATAATTTTCCCACAGTACGACGGGTAGTAAAACTTGGTATTAAGATAGGCAATAAAAGATATATTGCACAGTTTTCATCACAACGTTTATATACAATAAATCTATATCTCCCCCGCTCTTAAATACACAATAATATGCACATACCGTTTAACATCGCGGAAAAGAATTCCAATTACTCTTCTCTCCCCCCCCCCCCCCAATCCAATCCCTTCCCCCCCTCCCGTCTCCATGGCGGCGTAGTAAAGAATTTAATATAGAAACACTTGACGGTTGACAGTGCAGTTTTCCAGCCGCATTGAAGCACCTACACAAGCGCTGCTGAAGAATAGCAATTTGTTTGTTGTTTTTAGCAATTGATTTGTTTGTTGACGTCTTCGTTTAAAATCAAATAAGATTGTGGCCAGCCGTAACTCTATTTTCCATAATAAAAATAGACATCTTTCAGTCAGTAGATACTTTAAAATAGAGCTGCTGCGTTCTAGATGCACAGGCTCAGGTGATTTACGCACAAGGTCCCACAGCTAGCTACGCATTAAGAATACTTCCTTATTATCATAAAATTTGGCAGATATGTCGCACCTCTAACTTTCTCGGAATTTATGTGCGACATTTAATTTGAAATTTAACCATGAGCTGTTCGATGAAGGAAAACGAGGTACACCGCTCTCGGAAAACGTGTGAAGTTACCAACCCTGCATTGGCCCAATGTGACGGACAATATCAACTTCATATTTGTTGCTCTAACCCCAAAGTAAATAACTAGAGCACTTCTGCTATGGAAATTGAAAACAACAAAGGTACCACAAACACCCAGACTAAAAACACTATAAAAAAATTAGTTTTTCTACATTGACCGGTCTGGGGACCGATCCCGCAACCTCAGAGATAGCGACACTATGAAAACCGGTGTGCCAGCCTCTCGACTACGGAAGTCGTCTAAATGATGATGTTTCTAGTCATTAACTTATTCTAATATACTACATGACTGTCCTGTGTTGTTAGGGTAGTTTTTATTGTCATGTAAAATATGTCAATGATTCCATTCTAATAATTGTTACTAGCCATTTGTTTATTAGAAATTAAATATACAAGTAAATATATGTATTATTAATACATAAACAGCAAAAATAAAATACAGATGAAAGAAAATTAATCAAAGCCTTGTAACGTCCCCGCTGCACAGGTAACGATCAAACAAAGCAATAAACATGTATTATCCCGGAGCTTTGCCCACTGCCGTTGATGTGACGCGACGCGGCACGTGCGGACTGACAGACGGAAAGATTTATTGGTCGTGTTACATTTAAAAACTTCATTTATGCAAGTACCTATTGTAATTTTTATTATATTAATGTCTACTGGAGATATTAAAAATGCAAGTTACAATTGTAATAGGATATTATATTATTATTTCGCTTATCTATTTACTTTTGTAATGAAGCTACCATTATCTTTTGTTGTAGATATTTTAATAACTAAATGCTTCTAAACAGTAGTACCAGTAAAGCTTCTGGTGAAAGAGCTCGTCCAGTGACGTACTGCCACCTTACCCATTTCTGCCGCCAAGCAGTAAGCAGTGATGGCCACATTACTGTGTTTCGGTTGTGAAGGGTAAGGGCGCCGGTGAAATTACAGGCACATGAGCCTTCCCAACTTATGTCTTTCTCGTTCTTTCCCTTATCTATATGATTTAAAGCTCTGAGTAACACTGCACTGTTATGGACAGGCGTGTCGCTTACCACCAGGCGCACGACTTGTTCATCCCGTCACTTGGCATTATAAAAAAAAACATTATTGATACCTTTCAACAATTATTATACTTAGCTTCCTTCTACTTATTTTTACTAAAGTCTCTAAATGGAGTTACTTATCATCGCTAATCCGTTATACATCTCACTGCCGGGCACTGATCTCCTCCGAGGGTTGAGGACTTCACATTTTTTACCAGGGGTTGTGAACCTTCTTGGAGATTTCATCATAATAATATGTCATTAGGAATAATCTTTTCGCTTAACTTTGTCCTATTTTGTTTCTTGTTCAAACTTATATGTCCAACTGATATATAGACGAAGATCCAGTTGTATTAGAGGTTATCTATAAAATATTACAATGAAACTTGATAATATACGTATTTTTCATTTTTGAGAGTTCAATTTTTATTTTATTTATTCCATAAAAAACTCAAAATAATTTGTTATGATTATTAATACAAAGATCGAAAACTCAGAAAAAATTCCTTCGATCCGGCCGGATTCGCACCGACGTCTTCAAGCATACCGTGGCAGACGCTATACCAAGTAAGCCACGGAACGAACCAGCGGACCTCACGAATTTTTCTGTGTGCCTGTTGTCGTGTCTTTGCATTTGGTTTTTCAACGATTATTTAGTCGTAGCGTCATCTATTAGAAATCTATGAAAGTTTTAGTACCAAAGTTTTATCAGATACCAAATCCGACAGGATCGAAGGAATTTTTCTGAGTGTTCGATCTTTGTATTAATAATAATAACAAACTAATGGAGTAATTTCACAAAAAATAATTGAATATTAATTCAATAAAAATTTTAAAAACTCAAAAGAATTATTATTGTTTTGTATACGTAGAATCCTCTACGCGCTACTTAGCTCTGGCCTACGCCGTAGCGGCATACTTCAAATACTTCGCATACCGTCCCCGTCGCTCCCCGCCCCGCGCTTCACTCGCCAGCAGCCATGATTGCCTCGTAGGGAATGTCTGGTATGCGTCTTCGGTTTTCCAGGAATACCGTAAATGTACATTATGTACATGAACCAAATAATATAGGCTTTAAAACTATTGTGCTACACGCTATCAAAAATATAAAATATCCGTCTTGTATATAGATACTTAAAAAAATACAGATCGTCCTGGTATCACAGTACACAACTATTGGCAAACTGACATGCCTGATGACATAGTAGTAATAACTAAGCAGCGCTGCATCAATCTTTTAATATATAGTATATCAATAGTCCACCAGAGTGGCCCGATGCGTGGGAACTACAAAAGGTTTTGAAGGGTCATGAATCGTTTTCCACACAAACGTCGTGTACAATGCGGCCACAGTGATTTAAACCATCGAACCTGAATTGAGGAACGCCCGCTCGCCCACTGCCGCCGCTCTCTCACTATATAAGATAGAAACTTATATATAATTAAAAGGTTCAGTTTACTACTTTAAGTACTCTTGATAACTGGAATTGCTAGCTTTTTAACCGACTCCAAAAAGGAGGACGTTGTCAATTCGACTGTGTTTTTTTGTGTATGTTACGAAATTGCTGATGCTACTGAAACCGAAACCTTATCCAATTTTTCTTTTTTTTGAAAATTCTACCCCCAAAGGTGACATATTAGGGGATGAATCCGGTTTATTGAATTTTACCGACTTTCCGTTAACCGATTTCAGTAAAACTTATAACTTGTAATACAAATAATGTTATGGTGACCTAGAGCCGGTTTGATGATGGAAATGGCAGACGGATGAGAGGAACTCCTCAACAGCGTACAGCGGCTTCCTTGTGTTTGAACTCATATGA